TTTCATGATTTATGATATTTAAATTTATGGATATTGTGAAAAGATCATGATAAAGTTGTTACAGTCAGAGGTCAAATATTCCTTTTACTTCACAGTACTGCATGATAACCTATCATCACATTCCAACAAAAAATATCTTAAAATGTATCTCCAGTATATCATCACATAACTGAGATATTACATAAATGGAAGTTAGATGGTAACATGTCCACAAACTTCACTTCCTGGTAGTTCATATTTTAGGGATCGGAAATATCTTGAAAATAAAATGAATGCCCTACAAAGAACTCTGCTACACATTATTTAGAAAAGTTCTCACATCAAAGAATTTGCCAAAATATTGGTTGCCTTTTTGAAATGAATAACTTTTATATATAGTTTTAACCAAACATGGTCCAAGATGCAAAAAGATTTATTCAAACTGTGCTAACTTCAATTAAGTCCAATAGTAGGCCACAATAGGAATGAGATACAGCTGGAAATAAACAAGTGTGCCAAATCTTAACGTTTATATATAGATGTAATACACTTCTTATTATAACTGGTGAAATGGTATTGTTTAAAACCAAGTGTTGTAAAAAATTGTTAGTCGATCTGCAGATGATTTGGTGAAATAGAAGCACTTGGTTATCAATATAGAATTAGCCCAGCCAGCAAAGTAATGATTCAGTTTTAATTATTTAATCAAACTCCAGCGTTGTATAAAAAAATAATCAAAGTAATAGTATGAGAATGACTAACCCACTGTTGTGGGGCATTATTTAGTGTTTTATTTTGTTTTCCATAAAATTTGACACAGGAAATTTTTCCAGGATCACCCAGAAAGACAGTTTAAATATTTCAGTTTTCAATGGCTAAGTTTTCGACAGACTCAAAGTTGGGTGTAAGAATGCAGTATTACCTACGTGTTATGTCTATGGAAGATCAAGTACTTACGAAACCATGATGGAGGATGAAGTGATACTAAGTAGTTACTGATCTGTTGTTTCCATAGTAATGATAGCAATGCTGTCATAAAAAAATATTATATATGGAAGGAATTTAAAAAATAAAACCTCAATTTATTGGAAGTTGTTTTAAATACAATATAAAATGGCCTCCATGAGAGACGTTAATTTATGTTATGTACCAATGTTTCTGTAGAAACTGCTCGTTTGTATAATATTCTTTGAATAGAACATTTTACATTCAAGTGTCTTTAGACCCCATGGGTCTGTTATATTGTTTTAGTTTAATACTGCTTTAAACAAATTTATAATATTTTTTTGTTATATTGTTTTTGTGATGTAGTACATTCCATAGTGTATTGTGATAAACTTGTTTTTGTTAACCTTATAAATGATTTTTAAATTTAGCTTTTATTCCTCATGGTCTACTGTTCCATCAGACAAATGTGATACACATGTTATCGTTCATATGTCAATACTTTTAACAATATAATCTTGGACCTTTTTTTTTTCTTTATGTAAATTGTCACTCCTTACTGCAGACATACAATGTATATTATACATACAGTAGTAAAAAACAGACAAAAATTCCAGAGTACTACACTAAAAAGAACTCTGAATAGGAATACCTTTCTTGGTTCCAACGGGTATCCATCCTGAATGTTTTCCTTACTAGATTTGATAGCTGACCATATATCTGGGCCTGATGAGTTTAACAAAATAAAAAGATAACTATCACATTTCTAAAGCCAATGGTTTTAATTATTATTGGAGCATCATTAGGAACATTTGATGGAATTCAAATAATATTCTTAAATTTCTTGACAATATCATTCATTTCCATACATCTAATGTTTCCAGGAGTTTTAAATCATTCTTCCGTCCAAGTGTTTTATTATTAAGTATGTTAGAGGTATGATTAATTAATTATAACAAATGTGTTTTTACCAATACATGTATATTTAATGTTCCTGTAACTGTGAAGTACAAATCTCAGAAATCTGTGCTGTTATGTATTAAGTATTACCACGGTAAAGTGATACTCTAAACAGCTTCGATAAATGCTGGTGTTATTTTAACAGAAATGTGGAAAACTTAAAAATATACATAGTATTGGGTAGTGCAGATTTCACTTGTTAGGCTTATTGAATGTCTTGATAACAAATCAAATTTTTGTATTCACCTTGCTCTGAAAATAAAAATAAAATAACACAGGCACCTCTTAACACTTAATACAATACACTAAATGCATAGGCCAAAGATTTTTGAAAACTTTTGAAGTTGTACTTTAGAAGTAATTGGACTATAATGTTAGTCTACAACCCTTAACCCTTTCACCACTAGACCATAATGGACTCATCCATATAAATGCATGGTAGAGTCTACTAAAGTTACATAGGGGTGAAAGGGTTAATATATCTCCTATATTACGCTATATTTGCACCGATTATAAACATTTGTTCTAATAGACATTAGACTAAAGAAAAAGTAAGATATAGCAGAGCTTTTAGGGCTTTTAGGCTTATCAGATTGTAGGAGAATTTTGTTTTGTCTGTGCATCCTATGAAGGTTATTTTCTTGCAAAGCTGTTTGTACAAAGATCTGATGAAAGTGAAACAAATTCTTATTACACAGGTAGAAGGATTTTAAATATATTTGCCTCTTCTTGCAGCTGTTCACAATTAAAGTTTGTTAATATTGACATCAGTAGTTTATATGTTATGCATAATTCTCAATTGCACAATATTTCATTTGCATTTGAATTTGAAGTATGCTTACCATATTGAAGAATATCATACCATTTCATCTTAGGGCTATTCCAGGCATGAACAGGGGACTCAATTGAAATATTTACATATTCACAATTATTAAACACCTCACCATCCTTATATCAAAGATGATTATGGGGGTTGTCACAAACAAGTCTCTCCCCTCCCCCACCTCGTATGTAGCTCTGAAATAGCCCTGTATATTTACAACGAAGCTACGGGGAAAACGATGTGATATTTTAATTGGATTTGTTGATAACTCTTATCAGATTGTACCTGAAGCTTTAGATGAGTTACCCCTGTCAATTGAATTTCTTGCTAACATTAACATGACCTCAAAGATTATAACCAGCCTCATGCAGAAAAAATAAAATCTAAAGCAGTTTAATATAATATGATATCTGTCCACTTAACATTTTCACCACTGTAGACCATAATGGACTCATCCAGGTCAATGCATGGTAGAGTCTACTTAAGTTACATAGGGGTGAAAGGGTTAAGTCTTTATGATGTGATGGCACCATGCTATATTGTGAATTTGACATCACCTCCTTTTTGCAATAATGTCACAATTTACTTTTCAACTCGGGTGTAATTTTTTAAACTTGTATGATGAATGATCTTGAGATCAAAAGTGAATGTCTCGTGTCCAATTTGGTGATTGCAACATTTAATTTCATGGATCTGTGGGAGAAATTTGTCAGCAAATGTCTTATTTTATCTTATAAACAGAATAAGTATTTGTCAGATTGTGAATATACAGATCCTGTTATTGTGAAGAAAATTGGCTTTTCACCGAATATATGTAATCCATATATTACATAATATTATATATCATGTCTTTGATAAACACGGTCAGTTATAGAGAAAAAGTCCTGTTAACTATTTTTTGATTTTTGAACACTGCAACAGAAATTGTTTTGTGAATGTTGAATGTCTTTTCTGTCAAATTACAAGCAGAGATGGAAAATTGGGAATCACCATACATTTTTGTTTATCATGACAGATGTACTTCTGAAATTTTTAACTGGATTATTTTCTTCTTTATTTCCTGATATTTACCACACCCTGATACAGGTTATATACCTCTCAACATTTCCATTCATCAGCAGTGATTTTAAACTTCATCCATTATCCTTGTAATTGCAATTAATTATTATGTAATACTAGTCTAAATGTATTTAAAAGTAAACTGGTCATTTATTATTTCTTTCCTTTTTTCTGTTGATATGTAATCCGTCCACTTTGTACTGCAAATTTCAATGTAGAATATTTTTCTCAGTCAGTATCTATGTTCCGTCCATTTTACATGTTTTGATGTAGTATCTTGAAGCACGAATTGTCTTTCATTGGCTTGTATGCAAGGTAACAGTAGACACAGTAAAATACTGTATT